TCATACATTCCGGGTACGAAGAACTTGAAGGCAGATGCACTGTCCCGGCTGTATGACACAGAGGAGAGGCCCAGAGACAACACCCCCGTACTCCTGCATTGTGGCACCGGTAGTATGGGCGATGGACATGGATATAGAGCAGGCATTACGCACAGATCTATCTCCACCTCAGTGTCCAGCTGGGCTGCGGTACGTGTCTGCGCTTATCCGTGATCGTCTGGTCTACTGGGCACACACATCACCCTCCTCTGGTCACCGAGGTATCGGTCGTACAGTGCGCTGCCTGACCGGAAAGTACTGGTGGCCTACCTTGGCTAAGGACATGAGGGTGTACGTCTCCTCTTGCTCAGTGTGCACCCAGAGTAAGGCACCTAGGCACCTCCCAGTGGGTAAGTTACAACCTTTATCAGTTCCACAACGACCATGGTCTCACTTAAGTGTTGATTTTTTGACTGATCTTCCCCTCTCCCAAGGTAACACCACCATCCTGGTCGTTGTGGACCGCTTTTCCAAGTCCTGCCGCCTCCTTCCTCTGCCCGGTCTCCCCACGGCCCTGCAAACTGCGGAGGCCCTGTTTACGCACGTCTTTCAGCATTACGGGGTACCAGAGGATATAGTGTCTGACGAGGTCCCCAGTTCACGTCCAAGGTCTGGAAGGCGTTCATGGAACGTCTGGGGTCTCGTCAGCCTGACCTCTGGGTTTCACCCCGAGTCAAATGGGCAGGTGGAACGGGTAAATCAGGAGGTGGGTAGGTTCCTTCGGTCCTACTACAGGACCGGCCGGGGGAGTGGTCGGTGTTCTTGCCATGGGCAGAATATGCCCAGAACTCTCTTCGCCATTCCTCTACTAACCTAACGCCATTCCAATGTGTTTTAGGTTACCAACCGGTTCTGGCACCATGGCACCAGAGCCAGACCGAGGCTCCTGCGGTGGATGACTGGTTTCGGCGTGCGGAGGAGACGTGGGACGCTGCCCACGTTCACCTCCAGCACGCCGTGCGTCGTCAGAAGGCCAACGCTGACCGCCACCGCAGTGAGGCCCTGGTCTTCGTACCGGGGGATCGGGTCTGGCTCTCGACCCGGAATCTGCCCCTCCGCCTGCCCTGCCGGAAGCTGAGCCCGCGGTTTATGGGGCCGTTCAAAGTCCTGAGGAGAATCAACGAGGTCACTTAGGTTATTACTTCCCCCTAATTAACGTATTAACCCCTCGTTTCATGTGTCTCTCCTCAGGCCGGTGGTGGTTGGTCCGCTCCAGGAGTCTGAGGTGTGGGAGGTTCCTCCACCTCCTCTGGACATCGATGGGGCCCCGGCATACTCTGTCCGTTCCATCCTGGATTGGAGGCGTCGGGTGGGGGGCCTTCAGTACCTCGTGGAGTGGGAGGGGTACGGTCCAGAGAAACGGTGCTGGGTCCCGGTGAGGGATATCCTCGATCCCTCCCTGTTGCGGGATTTCCACTGTCGCCATCCGGCTCGCCCTGCTCCGCGTCCTCCTGGCCGTCCCCGAGGCCAAGGTCAAGGGGGGGGGGGGGGATACTGTCACGAATTCCACCGAGGCTGCCTCCCCTCCTTGTTCGGGCAGGCTTCGGAGTTCGTCGTCACCAGCTTACTAGCCACTGCCGCTCCATATATCATCATTACATTTGTCTTGTCTTGTCAATTACACACACCTGGTTCTTATCCCCTCATTAGTCTGTGTATAAGTGTTCCCTCTGCCCCATTGTCCTTGTGGGTGATTGTTATTTATGAGAGTAGTGTAGCTCGGTGGAGCTACTCTCCCTTTGTATTGCCGGGGTAGATAGTCCCCTGTGCCTGTTTCCGTGTGTCACTATCCAGCGCATTTGTGTACGACAGAATAAACTCTGTATTCAGTGATTTATCCTCCTGCGCCTGACTCCTTCTATTACACTCATCACAAGTGTAGTTCCCTCCCAGTCCTAAACCTGATAATCTGCCTGTACAGTGGGCGCATTGCTAACATACTTTCTCCAAGCCTGTCTGCAGCCCACTGCACAGATCAACTGACGCAGGGAAGTACAGAAATAGTACTCAAATAACTCTCAGAGCCAGCTAGCTAACACCTTTCAAATGGGGGTTTTATCTCTGGGTTTCATTGTGTAAATAGAGGCTGCTAACTCTATTAATAATGTATCATAATCCAGGTTTTACTCTGTAATGGAGAAATGTAGTGTATACTAACCATACAGACTATTTTCATACTAGGCCTACTGACAGGGACTCTATACAATGAGAACTTTATGAATTTGCAGATTTTTTACACCAAAGGTAAAATGTTGGAGTACCAATGAGATTACTGTTTGTTCAGAGGGGTAGGCCTACCTGTGTTTATTTCTAAATGGGTAACATCATAGTGTATGCATTTCAGTGATGTTTTATAGAGACTGTAGTCCTGGTCTCGTGATATTTACCTTAGGTGGATTTCCTGCTTGAATACATACTTGGTTTGCTAGTGCCAATGTCTCACAATATTATCTCATATGTTACATATTAAATCAAACAAATGGATGTGTTTACTTAGCCTACTCCCTTTGCATGATATAACAGAAGCCATTTGTGCAAGTAATGTGAATATCTTACATTTTCTTTTTGTCTACCTCTTCTGAATGATGTTTGGAAGTCATGTGAATGACAAAGCTCTCGTCTACAGAACTTTGTTAAGATGAGATGGATAACACAGGCTGTTGCAGGCTGTTACGTTGACTTGGTAAATAAAGATTTTAAAACAATCAAAGCTTTGTGTAATAAATGTTCTGGACACAAAAGCGCACACACGAGCGCACACACACACAAACACAATTTCATAACCTCTGACCTCAGATTTTAGCTGAAGGCAATATTTAATATGTCAGTTATTAACAGCTGATTGTGTCACACATTCCTCAGAATTTTGAAACAGAGCGGCTATATTAGCATCTTCTGCTCTTACTGTATTACATTCATAAACAAATATGCCTAATAGTGCTTGACTTGGGCAGGGGATCACCGGAGCTGAGTACCAGCACCTCACATTTTCCACTGTTTGAGCTCCTATTCCTCATATAATATTAGCTCAAAAGGATTGTGGAACTCCTGCACCTAAATATAAACAGTACCGACACCCAAAATGAGTACCTGAACCTATTTCAGTCCAAGTATGAAAACATGTATGCATTCACTAACTGTAAGTCGCTCTGGATAAGAGTGTCTGCTAAATGACTAAAATGTAAATGTAAAAGTCAAGCACTGCCTACCAGTGGCGGCTCCTGAAAAAATTCTCAGGGGGGGCAATTTTTCTGATGATTTAGGTGACCTACACACATTTTAAAATATATATGTCCAGCAACAACATGAAGACAGGGGCAGCATATAAGTCAATACCAGAAGCATTTATTGACTGATCTCAAAAGTGTTGGCTTACCAGGGTTGGTGGAGCCCTCAGTTTCATCTTTGCCTCGCAAAGCTAACTCAAACACTCCGCAAAACTTCACACACTGGATTAGCCGGCTGAGGATGTGGCGGTTCTTGCTAATGTCGTAGTAAATATATTTGTTATAGTGAATATGGAATATGATATGTTGAGTAAAATGTTGTGCTAAGATCTATTTAGGTCAGGAGCTGGTTATAAGTTCTGTTCCTATCCAATAACAATGGACAAAAGGGTCATATCTTGTCAGCCTTGTCAGTTTCAGTTCTCCAGTAAACTTGTGATTATCAACACTAACCTCATCGTTGTGGCGGCGGACAGCTAGCCTGTATCCCTCATCCAGTTGAGTGGGAATGTTCACTCTCCCCAAAGCAGACAATCTCAAACAGCTATCCATGTGGGTCTTTGACAGCTCATGTTTCTTAATCTTTCCTGAAAGATGGTGCATGTCCGTTACACACCAGTCGCTGTCCAAGCGGTGCTGTCTGCCGTGCCGCCTTCAGGGTGAAAGAGTAAGCAGGGGGTAGCAGAAGACTGCATTAGCTACATCGCAGCCTGCTAGCCAGGTTTTTCGTTCGTACCAATTTTTGGAAAATCCTCGGGTGTAGGACTTCCCCCCTTTAGTAGAAACCTGTTGAATTATTAAATTTGGTCTGGGAGGTCCTAATTGTTTCGTTGCCAATTTATCTTCATTTGTTCGCCGACAAAAAGGAACTTCTTTCAAAGACACAATCGAGTTGCACTGAAGCCTAGCCATTTTGACAGTAATAGTGAATTGATTGACGCTGCTACCCGCTCTTTTCTTAGTTACGTTCATGGTTATGTTACGTATGACGAAAGCGCGTAAGTGCAAGCCCTCAGAAACCCATAGAGATTGTATTGAAAGCTCTGATATTTGAAAAAAATTGATTTTACATGGGAGTCTATGACAGACTTCTGGGCGATTTTCAACCTGACTGAAATCGCCCCAAAAGGGGGGGGGGCCATTTGAAGCACGACTTTAGCCTGATTGGACATTTAGTGGCACTGTGGCAGATCAGACGTCTAGATTACAACACTGATAACTACTGTTGCCGTGATATAATTGATTAGAAAAAAAATCCCTTCCTTTTCCCGTTTGGCAGTGCGTCGCCCATATCGCCCTATTGAACACACCGCCCCTGCTGCCTACCAATAGGCCTATTCTACAAAAAGGCACATTAAATGTAGCCTAAGATCTTTCCATCATATATGCCTACTTTCATCAATGTTAGATCAATGTCAAGTCAACATTAAAAGCAACTTAAATGTTGATACACATTTTCTTCTCTGCATCAATGGTCAGAGGCTCAATGGGCTCATTCCAAATAATGAAAATTGGTTTGCAGCGTTCCACGAACGTCATGGCAACTTGATGAAAAGGGGTAGTGCTCTATATTTTGCAGCACAAAGAGGAACGAGGAACGTCGCGCCGCCGCTCTCTGCCTGCGAAGTGGAGGCTGAAGAACAGAAGTGCTACGTCCTGGCTGATTTATGTGCAGTAAGCTCAGTGAACGAGAGACAAAAACTTAATGTCAAACAAATGGTTTATAAATAGAATATGGCGCCGTCTGGCTCGCGCAGTATCAAACGGAGCTGTCAGACAGTTTTGTATTGGATTCCAGTTATTTTTATCACCATCATAGTGGCTTGGTCCTACTACGCGTATGTTGTACAGCTCTGCATAGGTAAGGATAACTCCGCTGTCGGTACAGTATGGGTTTGAATGCTAGGATGCTGTGGATGCCTTGCATTGCCTTTAAAACTGATGTGTCCATGTGTTTTTCCCAGCTCCTGTGCTGCGTCTCATTTTCAGCATTCACTCATGTTGGTCCAGCCTGATTTTGGACGCTGAACAATTTGTTTATGCTGGTGCTTGTTGTTGACAGTACCAATTTCTACCATCATTTCAAAGACAGTTATTCTGGAAACAAATGTTGGTATCTGGAAGGCTCCTATAAATACTATAACTGAAATAGATTACATTAGTTGCAAATACTGTTTGATTATAATGAAATAATGATAGTGGAAATGTAATTATTGGTTGTTTATATATGGACTGACATCATTCAATAATCTTGCTAATGTGTTTGATTATCTCAAGCAATGCACCATATACTGTATGTATGGACCATTTATTGCAAATGTATAATCCAAACAACTATACAAGAAACAAGCACTGATTAAGATGAAGGGTCTATATCAACTTGTGCCTCTGTAAAACATCCAAGTTGTGGTCTGCTTTTAAATGTTTATGACTATGAAAAATCAAGCCCCCTCCATTTGAGTTCCTCTCCGGATGAAAAATCACTTCACAAGGATGAGTTTGGCAGATTGATGGCCTGTACTATCCTTTGCCTGTATGTATGGATTACATGGATGTACTACTACTTCATACAGCTCTGACAAGATTCATTACGTGTTCATGTGTTGCACATTCACGACAACACTGTGATGTGATCAGCACTTGCTGCTTTACAATAAGCAATCTAAGGTAGAGTAGAGGCCTGAGGGCACACACTTAATGTGTTGTGAATGTATTGTAATGTTTTAAAAATTGTATTACTGCCTTAATTTGCCTTGGCAGCAGCTAACGGGGATCCATAATAAATACAAAATACAATTGGGCCCTATGAACCCTGCTCAAAAGTAGTTCACTATAGGGTGCCATTTTGGACATTTAGTTCCTCCCTCCCATTGGCTTTCAAGGCTGGTTTTTAGGCTGGCAATGTTACACTTTGTTAAATGATTGTGTAAAAGAGAGGAATATTAGACAGAATATTGAATTTACCTGAATAGTGATGCTGATTCCTTAGGTGAAGAGCTCTGTGTGTGTCAGAGGAAACCAGGGATTGAATGTATTAATCTGTTATCAATGCTTTTAGTTCCTACAATATGATAGTTTGATATTTGCATTGACTGTAAAATGACAGAAAACGTATATGTCTTGTTTTCTCCTATCTATAATGAAACCAGTAAGATAGGACTAGAACTGTTGTTGCCAGCAAGTGGTGTGATGAGTTCCCAAAAAAATTGTAGGAGTGTATCATCAACTGATCCCTCTAGTTCTGTTAATCCCATTGTCTGACTCACTTAATTCACCCCAAGCAATCTCTGCCTGACCCAGTTTTCCCCTCATAAAATCACTTCACACTATCTTTGAAAAATGGCAGCAGGGTCTTTTGAAGTTGACAAAATGTCAAAGCTGTGATATTCCAGCGCTGTTATTGTTGGGAAACTTTATGAGAATTCTTGGACACAAATCAGTTGTTTGATTTCACCCTTTCAAATGTATTACCAAGCACCTGTTGTAGTATGTGGACAAACAATATGTTATGCCACACCACTAAAGTGCCAATTCACTGCCCTCTTAGTCGTGTTGACCCAGTGTGTATGGAAACTGGGTTGACAACACACACATAAGCATGCACGCACACACAATAATTATTTGTATGATTATTTTGCTCTGATCACCTTTCCTCAGCTCTGGCTGTGTATGTGTGCAGACTGCAGTGTGCTATATGCCTGTGAATATTAAGCTAATGTGTGCTCCTGTAAGGGCTGATTGGAAGGAAGAAGGATCAATGTGCTGTTGGGGAACTGGTCTTATGTGTTTGGTGTTTTTAGTATTAGTTATGTGTAGGATACTTTGTCTCAATTAGGGAGCTGGTCCTGTCTTTTCTGTGCTGTTGATGTAGTATATAATGTATTTGGTGGATGCTGGTCATGTGTATTAGGTGTGTATTTTAATGATGTTTATTAAGTGTGTGTAGGTGTGTGTAGTAAGGTGCAACTGTGTAATATGTGTGTACTGGAGCTTCTCATAGGTGTCTCTTGGTGATGTTCATGTTATATTAGTAGGTGTATGTAGTAGGGTGCTACTCATGTACACTGAATATACCAAACATTAGGAACACCTTCCTAATATTGAGTTGCACCCTCCCCCTTTTGCCCTTAGAAAAGCCTCAATTCGGCAGGGCATGGAGAAAGCATTCCACAGGGATGCTGGCCAATGTTGACTCCAATGCTTCCCACAGTTGTGTCAAGTTGTCTGGATGCCCTTTGGGTGGTGGACCATTCTTTATACACACAGGAAACTGTTGAGTGCGAAAAACAGAGCAGTGCTGCAGTTCTTGACACAAACCGGTGCGCCTGGCACCTACTACCATACTGCCTATTCACCCTTTGAATGGCACACATACACAATCCATGTCTCAATTGTCTCAAGGCTTAAAAATCATTCTTTAACCTGTCTCCTCCCTTTCATCTACACTGATTGAAGTGGATTTAACAAGTGACATCAATAAGGGATCATAGCTTTCACTTGGATTCACCTGGTCAGTCTATTTCATGGAAAGAGCAGGTGTTCTTAATGTTTTGTATACTCAGTAGTTGAGCTGATTCAGTGTGTTGAGGACTGGGGTGCTGATCCTAGCAAGTGGCCAGCTTCTTTGTTTGCCCCCTGTCCAGCTGCACGTGGAGCAGCTGCAACAGTCAGCACAGACTGTAACAGACACGATGCTACTGTTGTTTTCATTGCTTTCGTGTCAATGCACATTAATGCTTTATTATATCAAAAGGTAAAACAAGGACAGTCATTTATGATTGGAATGGGTCGTGATAAGTTGTAGGATAGGGATCATCAACTAGATTCATCTGTGGGACAATTTCTTCTTGAGCGGATGGTCGGGGGGCAGGAACATAATTTCAAAGAATTTGTAGACTGCAAATTGACTGCAAGAAGCCCAAACATATAATATTTGACTAAAACATAATCATTTCAAACCTTGCTTACATTTGTATATGATCACGTGTCTCTGTATTATGCGTGGGAATACTTGGGAACAGATTTCCTAAATTAAAATCACTTTGTGCTGATTTCCTGGTGTTTTTACAGTCTTTTATGTCCAAAATAAATAAAACAAGTATTTATATATTTTTTGGGGAAAACTTGGGGTGCCTCATAAAACCACCTCCAGTTGAGGAACCCTGTCGTAGGAGTTTGATGTCTCAGACGGCATTGGGACTAAAGGATGTCTTAGTGTTAGCATATTTCACTTATAGCAATTCAGCAGCATGCCTACAGCATGTCTGTGTGACCCTCAGCTTATTTATCATTATTAAACAATAATTTGACGCCAAGTACACCAAGGAGAAAATTTGCCACATAGGCATATCCTTTGTTTTTAGCACAATCTACACATTATACTGAAGAGGGATGCTGCTGAAAATGTTCAAAGCATTTACATTCGTATTTTTTCGGGTGTTATGCAGTAAACGTTGATTTTTTTTACGGTAACTAAATACAGAGACATGACTGCACATTTCTCATCTTTTCCTTTCAGAATCCATCGACAACATTGGAGAAAAGAGTAAGTGCCCTGACCGATATAGTTTTTTTCTACAGTATGATATGATGAACACTGATGCCATGCCATTAGTAGTGCCTGTCTGTCTCAGTGAACCCAGCACTGATGAATAACCCAGAGGATTGAGGCTTATCAATGGTCAGTCGTGTGCCAACAGTAGCCATTAGTCTGACCAACTGCCGCTCAGGTGGTTAGTACCATTGTGGGCAGGGGAAGTAGGTCTGTTAAAGTGCTTGTCTAAGAACTTTCTGTTTCCTCTGCCAGGCCTGAATCTGTTATATACACAGTTAGAGTCAGGAGAGACACCCAGGAATGAGGATGATGTTGCATGATGGGTCAGGGAGTACGCAGTTGGAAGCAGTTGAATAGGATGTTCCCCAAGTCCCTCATCAACACAGGCTGGGACCCAATAGAGACATTTACTGTAGCTAGCCTAAGCATCACTACACGCTTCATCATAGTCTAACCCCAACCTGTCTTTTAGAAAAAATGTCAGTCAAGCATGCAGTTTATAGTCAGTTTCATGGATTCCAATTATGTTTGTTTACTCAAAACCATTTGGAAACTAATTTTCACTGTTATTATTAAAGGCTATGTAAGAGGGCTTCCTGAATAAATAAGATCCCAAAAGCAAAAAGGACTTCTGTTATCTTTGCCAGAGCCTTATCTAAGCAAAGTTAGGCCTAGATTCAATCAGATCAAGCGTTAACCTGCGATAGCCGACATCCGCATAGCTGATGTTTTGGTAGTGTCAGAGGTGTAACTGTGTTGGAGCTGTCAAATCGGTGAGCAGCTGCTCTTGATCATTGTCACGAAGCCACACCCATCCTACTCGTGTTAGAAGTTCGGAACGAGAGTGTTAGGGACTGTGTAGGCTATATAGAAATAATGACTCTAACTGAAAATCATGAAACAAAATAATGAGTATTTCTATCAGCCTAATCGAGGTGTATATTACATCTCAACAAGTTCAAACTTGTTAACAAGGCTGCATGGGATTTCTCTTAATGTGACTCTGTGTAGGCTTTAGGTAGGCTATAATGCCAGGAGCCGCTTGTGGTTTTACCTCTGCATTTCCACCTCCGACACTGCCAAAACAACCGCTATGCGTATGTCGGCTAAAGCGGATCTGTTTGAATAGAGCCCTTAGTCAAGCTGACCCAAAGCCGCCACAATTTCTCCTTTGGGGGTTCTTAGGAAAAATGTGCTCTGTTCAAAGTGTGGGAAAGGAATAATAACTTTATTGACTTTAAGTTAATGGGAAACAGGGCATTTTTGTTGGTCTATTCGAAAACTGTATCAGAGATCTAGCTGCTAGCAGACATGACTTGCCTGCACAGTGAGCTGTATGTCTTTTTTTCCCTTTGTACAATTTGTTTTGAGGGATATACAAATGTTTTCTTTAAAACAACAATACAATACAGACAATACAAATGGCCACTCCTACAGTGGGTGCTCTGGTCAGAGGGTGTGCTCGCTCCCACCCGCCCCGAGACGCCGACACGGCAAGGCCCCGCTCCCGACCCAAAGGGGATTTTCCAAGGGCGGGAAAAACCAAGCCCCGCCCGATGCCCGGACGGGCATGGAAGCGAGCGAACCCATAACTACCAGGACCAGGATACACACCGCTCACAGCATGAAGCCAAACCACAAAAATCTAAAAACATACAATAATCCCAGCCCTGCCCTCACCCCTGATTGGAGGACCTACATTTGTGTATATAATTATTCCAACACTCATCAATTCCACCCTTCAGAAAGCCACAGATCAACCCATCTTTCCCAATAAATCATCATTCTACAATTGTCTTTCTGTATGTCTTTCTATTTCCAGTTGTTTACCTGCTGGCCTATCATGTTGCCTTCATCTTGTTTACCTGGGCCTACTGGCAGACCATCTTCACCAAGCCCATGAACCCCATGAAAGAGGTGAGTGTGTGTGTGTGTGTGTGTGTGCCACCGTTGTTATAGTAATCTAGAACTGAAACTAAAACTAATGAAAAAACATTTAGTAAACTTAAATAAAATAATTCACAAATCCATTTGAAAAACTAAAATTAAACTGAAACTATTATCTTTGACTCCAAAACGAACTGAAGTAAAATCAAAACCAACATGAATTATGTTCAGTTTGAGGGGGGGGTGGTTTCAAAATCTAATGGGGTTTACAAACTTTTTTTCGAATGGGATTTTCAAGTTTCTGAATCTGGCGGGTCACATTGAGATTTACTTTATAATTGAAAGGTAGACTCAGTGAGATGACGTTGCCACAAACAGCACCACAGGTATTCGGCGTGTTTGAGTAGTAAGGCTAAAGCAACCGACAGTAGACGAAAGTCGGGGGAGGTGCATATGCGACAGCCGAAAGTCGGACACTAATGTGGTTTTCCAACAGCAAGGCTCAGATCAACATGGTAGTGTTGCCATTGTTTATTAAATGTTTTCTTTATAATGTCGAAATAAACATGGATCTAACCACCATATCACACAATCTGAAATCATAATAGAATATTATGTGTGTACATTGTACAATCACTTATTGAGAAAGAGCCTCAAATATCACATGTATTTGTATATATCCACTGTACACATAAATCGCGGCAAATTGGTTCCTCTTTCATGTCTTTGGTCATGTTCACGTGGGTCAAACAAAAGCACCCTGATGATTGGTTGACAATAGAGCCTCCCACAATGCAGGCGATGCTGCAGGATGAAGTTGGTGAAGAGCAACTGCAGAAACTTGCAGTCAAAACTTCATGACCTTTGATCACATTATTGTTGTAAAGTTCATGCAGTTGACATGTAGATGCAAGTCAGACAATCCCCAGAATGCAACACACGATGGTCACCGACTTGACCAAAGTGATTCGCTTGAACGCACCCATTATGCAAGACTTTGCTCTTACACCGTCACACAGAGTATCTGCGCATGTGCACAGCTGTGTTTCATGCTGCTACAACGTGGTAGCTACGGGACCAAAACAGTAGAGAAGTTTAGCCTCGTGCTTCAACCCTCCTGGTTGTTACAGAAATTGTGTCTACCTTTAAACCTAAACTAACCTATGCATTACTGCCACACAGTGGCAAGAAGTGACATCCCCAAAACACATAAATGGCTCCTAGCCTCCCACACATTTCTGTCCCTAACACTAAAACTGAAACGAAATTAATATAAAAACAAAATATTTTTTTTTATAAAACTTAAACTGAATAAAAACTAATAAAGTGGATCTGAAAACTAACAAACTAAACTGAATTTCAAATAAAATCTTAAAACGAATAGAAATAAAAACGAATATATAAACGGAAAACTATAATAACCTTGGTGCGTGCGTCTGACCACAGTCACCCACACGGCTCTAGACAAGTCTCGATGATGAGGTACAGGGAGAGGTGCAGAACTAGGCTACAGTCTCTCCTTCTATGATTGAGAGTGATATTTAGTGTGATATTACATTCTTCTCCAACTGCCTGAAGGAGCACTCTAATAGCACTTCTCCTGACCACTCGGATTCAGTGCTTGTTGTTGTTGAATCCATGTGCTTCAGACGACACTCAAAAATCCTCCTTACACTACTGAGTGCTCTGTTTCATTGTGTGCATTCAAGGGGAGAGAACTTAACATTCAGGTCACCACATAACAATGTTTTCCTTCATACTGTAGTATTTATTTGTTAGATTATTCAGTGGGTGGTGATGTCGCAATAAAAGTGATATATGTGGCACTGGGTACCATGCTGTTTGTTATTGTTGAAGTTATTAGTCCTTAGCCTTCAATCATAAAATGCCTGAGTGCCTCAAAGTAATAATGTAGCAGTGCTGTGGCTCTCCAACCAATCTAGCTGCTCAGGCAGAAGGAATCAGAAGGAAAGGGGAAATATAGAACTGCAAATGACTGATCAGCCTTGCGACACACAACAATACTGTACTGCAGTCCTCCAGCACTCAGAGCTACACATCATTTAGATCACTTGCATTATCATATTCTTTGATAAGTGCTGTAATGGGAAGTGTATCTCATTAGTAATGGATATAGGCCTGCAGTATGCTAGAGGCACAGGATGCTTCTTATTATGTTCCTCCATCCTCTCCTCTGTAGTTCCACCTGTCCTACTCAGACAAGGAGCTGTTGGAGCGTGAGGACCGCGGAGAGTCTCAACAGGAGATTCTTAGAAGGCTAGCCAAGGATTTACCCATCTACACCCGCACCATGTCTGGAGGTACAGAACACACGCTGATAAACGTCTTAACTGTGATGGATGGTTCAATGCAATTCTGCCCTGTGACTTTTACCAATCCACCAGTATAACAATTTCATTGTTATAGGTGCTTTCATTGTTATACATTCTTTATTTAATTGACAAACCATTTTCATTTGACATTCTCTGTTTACAATACAAAGATATTTCTATAGCATTTCAGTTGTTGAACACAATTACAGAAATGGTGATGAACAAAAGAACATAGGCCTATGGTACCCCTAAAACCTTTCAATACTTGCTGTTGACAGAGCAGTGTGTAGCGACACACCAGAAGCACTGGCCTTTGGCAATCAAAAGTCAATTTCATTTGTTATTTATCAGTGGGGTGGATAGGCTGACAATGGTGTCTAATTGACCATGCTAACGCTGTCTCTTGCTGTCTCTCCTCAGCTATCCGTTTCTGTGATCGCTGCCAGCTGGTCAAGCCTGATCGATGTCACCATTGCTCAGTCTGTGATAAGTATGGCTTTGCTCATGGTCCTATGTACTGTTAATAAGAACTCTGCTGTAACTCTTTTTAATGTGTAGGAGAATATTCTAGCTGTCACTGAGGTTCCTTACTGTTGTTTTACAGATGCATCCTAAAGATGGATCACCATTGCCCGTGGTATGTATTGTTACTGTATGATCTCATACTAAATATAAGTGATGTTTTATTAATTATTCTAGGGAAATAAACAATATTTTCCATTAGGTCCCTGTATGATTTGTAATAGTGTTTAAATCTCATTTGATAAATAGATAGCTTTTTCCATTGTCGTCAAGGGCTTAACAGATGTCTGTCTACGATATACGCTACATGACCAAAAGTATGTGGACACCTGCTTGTCGAACATCTCATTTCAAAATCATTGGCATAAATATAGAGTTGGTCCCCCTTTCGCTGCTATAACAGCCTCCACTGTTCTGGGAAGGCTTTCCAAGGCTTTCCACTAGATGTTGGAACATTGCTGTGGGGACTTGCTTCCATTCAGCCACAAGAGCATTAGTGAGGTCGGACACTGATGTTGGGCGATTAGGCCTGGCTTGCAGTCGGCGTTCCAATTCATCCCAAAGGTGTTCGATGGGGTTGAGGTCAGGGCTCTGTGCAGGCCAGTCTTCCACACCGATCTCGACAAACCATTTCTGTATGGACCTCCCTTTGTGCACGGGGGCATTGTCATTCTGAAACAGGAAAGGGCCTTCTCCAAACTGTTCCCACAAAGTTGGAAGCACAGAATTGTCAAGAATGTCATTGTATGCTGAGGGGCCTAGCCCGAACCATGAAAAGCAGCCCCAGATCATTATTCCTCCTCCACCAAACTTTACAGTTGGCCCTATGCATTGGGGCGGGTAGCGTTCTCCTGGCATCCGTCAAACCCAGATTCATCTGTCGGACTGCCAGATGGTGAAGCGTGATTCATCACTCCAGAGAACACGTTTCCATTGCTCCAGAGTCCAATGGCGGCGAGCTTTACACCACTCCAGCCGACGCTTGGCATTGCGCATGGTGATCTTAGGCTTGTGTGCGGCTGCTCGGCATTGGAAATCCATTTCATGAAGCTCCCGACAAACAGTCTTTGTGCTGACGTTGCTTCCAGAGGCAGTTTGGAACTCGGTAGTGAGTGTTGCAACTGAGGACAGATTTTTTTACCCGCTACACGCTTCAGCACTCGGCGGTCCCGTTCTGTGAGTTTGTGTGGCCTACCACGTTGTTGCTCCTAGACGTTTCCACTTCAGAATAACAGCACTTACAGTTGACCGGGGCAGCTCTAGCAGGGTGAAAGGTGGCATCCTATGACGGTGCCGCGTTGAAATTCACTGAGCTGTTCAATAAGGCCATTCTACTACCAATGTTTGTCATGGCTGTGTGATCGATTTTATACACCTGTCAGCAACGGGTGTGGCTGAAATAGCCTAATCCACTAATTTGAAGGGGTGTCCACATACTTTGTATATATAGTGTAGATGATATTTCAGCCTTGTCCATTTCTGTTTGGGGACATTCTTACAATCTATGTTGCAGTCAAACTGTATGTTTTTTTTCCCCATATTGTGTGATATTGACTTGGAGCATTGCCTTATTGTTTTGGAATGTGACAGGGTGAATAACTGTGTGGGCTTCTCCAACTATAAGTTTTTCATGCTGTTCCTGGCATACTCCTTATTATATTGCCTTTTCATCACTGCTACAGATTTACAGTACTTCATTAAATTCTGGATCGTGAGTACAATATCTTCGTTGTAAACTTCTGAATAATTTACATTCTGTAGAATCTAAATCAGTAGAATGATTGCATTTCTAATTATAGTTTACTGTCTTATATATCTATATCTCTCTATATCCATGTTCATTAGGGGGAGAATACAGTATGAAAGATGATGCTTGGTGTATAACTTTAAAATCACTGTTTCATGTTATGTTTTTGGCATTCTGATTTCTCTGCAAGGCTGGAGGTACAACACATGACCGTCTGTTAGAATAACTGGTATGAGCCAATCAGCCAATCAGTGGCATTTAATTTGAGGACGATGCACACTGATTGGTTAAGCTCCCCCTAAACTAGTTTTGTAGTGACCTAGTCCTAGCTAACAAACGCTAACACCCAACTAGATGACATACTTTCCTTACAGTAACTTCAATAGAGAGGTAATGTTTAATGTGCACTTGCAGATACTAGAAGTCTAATGCATTGTGTTTGTGTGGAACTGCTCCCTCAGGATGGTCTGCCTGACAGCCAGGCTAAATTCCATATAATGTTCCTGTTCTTCGCTGCTTCTATGTTCTCTGTCAGTCTGGCCTCACTGTTCGTCTACCACTGCTGGCTGGTCTGCAAGAACAGATCCACTCTAGGTAAGGGCTGTTTTTGAGAGCATCTCACTGGTGTCTCACTAAACATAGTGTAAATAGACCTAGTCTGGGTGCACTGACTGAGTCTCCAAGTATAGGGACTTTATTCAATTTTTCTCCACATCCAATAAAAACAGAGATTGAGTCCCTCATCTGTGGTATGATTCGATGTATCTTTGTCATGGCCAATATCAGACAGACAGACAGAGAGAGCAGTCTCAGATTGGAGTGAGTGGATTACTCAGGGAGTCTGTTATAACGCCAAGAGGAGGCTCAGAGGAGTAAGAGGCTTAGAAATAGACACTGGTCAGGTAGCCCTGCTGGACAGGCCTTTAGAGGAAGAGAAGTCAGCCAAACCACAGCTCAGAACAGCCAGCAGACCTGAAGGCATAGATCTGTCCTCAGAGAGCAGGGTACTCAGGCTCTTTGGTTCATTGGCATTAGTTATTACATAAAGTCAATTAGAAATACAGTGAGGGAAAAAAGTATTTGATCCTCTGCTGATTTTGTACGTTTGCCCACTGACAAAGAAATGATCAGTCTATAATTTTAATGGTAGGTTTATTTCAACAGTGAGAGACAGAATAACAACAACAAAGGGAGTGCTCCTAATCTCAGCTTGTTACCTGTATAAAAGACACCTGTCCACAGAAGCAATCATTCAGATTCCAAACTCTCCACCATGGCCAAGACCAAAGAGCTCTCCAAGGATGTCAGGGACAAGATTGTAGACCTACACAAGGCTGGAATGGGCTACAAGACCATCGCCAAGCAGCTTGGTGAGAAGGTGACAACAGTTGGTGCGATTATTCGCAAATGGAAGAAACACAAAATAACTGTCAATCTCCCTCGGCCTGGGGCTCCATGCAAGATCTCACCTCGTGGAGTTGCAATGATCATGAGAACAGTGAGGAATCAGCCCATAACTACATGGGAGGATCTTGTCAATGATCTCAAGGCAGCTGGGACAATAGTCACCAAGAAAACAATTGGTAACACACTACGTCATGAAGGACTGAAATCCTGCAGCGCCCGCAAGGTCCCCCTGCTCAAGAAAGCACATATACAGGCCCATCTGAAGTTTGCCAATGAACATCTGAATTATTCAGAGGAGAACTGGGTGAAAGTGTTGTGGTCAGATGAGACCAAAATCGAGCACTTTGGCATCAACTCAACTCACCGTGTTTGGAGGAGGAGGAATGCTGTCTATGACACCAAGAACACCATCCCCACCGTCAAACATGGAGGTGGAAACATTATGCTTTGGGGGTGTTTTTCTGCTAAGGGTACAGGACAATTTCACCGCATCAAAGGGACGATGGACAGGGCCATGTACCATCAAATCTTGGGTGAGAACCTCCTTCCCTCAGCCAGGGCATTGAAAATGGGTCGTGGATGGATATTCCAGCATGACAATGACCCAAAACACACGGCCAAGGCAACAAAGGAGTGGCTCAAGAAGAAGCACATTAAGGTCCTGGAGTGGCCTAGCCAGTCTCCAGACCTTAATCCCATAGAAAATATGTGGAGGGAGCTGAAGGTTCGAGTTGCCAAACGTCAGGCTCGAAACCTTAATGACTTGGAGAAGATCTGCAAAGAGGAGTGGGACAAAATCCCTCCTGAGATGTGTGCAAACCTGGTGGCCAACTACAAGAAACGTCTGACCTCTGTGTTTGCGAACAAGGGTTTTTCCACCAAGTACTAAGTCATGTTTTGCAGAGGGGTCAAATACTTATTTCCCTCATTAAAATGCAAATCAATTTATAACATTTTTGACATGCGTTTTTCTGGATTTTTTTGTTGTTATTCTGTCTCTCACTGTTCAAATAAACCTACCATTAAAATTATAGACTGATCATGTCTTTGTCAGTGGGCAAACGTACAGAATCAGCAGGGGATCAAATACTTTTTTCCCTCACTGTAGCTGATTTTTATCTTTGCTGTACAAATGGCAGTTCAGTGAGATGGAGTAGAAGGTATTAGTCTGCAGTTGTAGCAGGCTTTTAAACAGCAAATCTCCCCACCCTTTGAGAATAACAAACTCTCATCAATCTGTTCCACAAGAGGATATTTGACAACTGATGTCTCAAAATGTTTCTTATCCATGCATTAGACTTATTAGACATTAGACTTATAGTGTTGCTATTGATTCAGCAGTTACATAAGTACCCACAACATAATGCAATGAAGTATTTCTCTCAGTTTCCTTTGAGTTATGAAACATCTAGATTGCATATGTTCTCTATGTTGCAAAACTAGATCTCTCCTCAGTTTTGGTTCAACACTGATCATATTCTATTCTATTGTTCCTCAGAGGCGTTCCGTGCGCCACCATTCCGTCATGGGGCAGATAAGAATGGCTTCAGTCTGGGCCTAAGTAAGAACTTCCGCCAGGTCTTTGGGGATGAAATTAGATACTGGCCACTTCCCGTATTCTCCAGGTATTTATTTATTTATTAGGTGTGCTTGCTGAAGGCAAAGCACAACTCTAGATTTCTTACATAGTCTTATTCTTATTCTTATTCTTATTCTTATTATTTGAAATCACTCTAGCCCTTAAACGATTTAAGCTATTAACACAAAACGAACTTCCAATGTAGATTGCTTGAGAAAATATTTTTGATAGCATCTATACTTTCTGTGCTACAACAATATTTATATGAGCTTCCAATGCATTTCAATGGCAATAACAGTGGCAAACACTTACATGGGGGGAAAAAAAATAAATTTGGGCACGCATCTACTCTTAAAGGTGCTACAAATACGATTTTTATTTTATTTTTGTAATTTCTGAAAATGTCCATAATGTATCTGCCGCTAATAGTTGAATGATAGTGTTTCACAGTATTAGTGTTTCATAGTGTTGTGTTTCACAGTGTTGTGATTAGCTGTGATATTTTCACTACTCCCTCCGAAGCTGCCACCTCTCCTTGTTCGTGCAGGCGTCGGCGTTCGTCGTCACCGGCCTTCTAGCCATTGCCGCTCCTCATTTCATAATTCCATTGGTTTTGTCTTGTTCATTACACACACATGGTTCATATCCCCTCATCAGTACCTGTATAAGTGTTCCCTCTGCCCCCTTGTCTTTGTGTGTGATTGTTTATTGTGAGGATAGTGAAGCTCAGTGGAGCTCCTTGTATTTTGTATCGCCGGGTTATTTTCCCCTGTGTACCTTGTTGGTTTAGGTGCGCCTGTTTTGCCAATTAGACTGCGTAACTCTGTTTTCCGGAATAAACCCTGTTATTCTGTGATTTACCCTCCTGCGCCTGACTCCTTCAACTCACCCATCACATAATCACACACCCGAAATGGAGTCAGCAGGAGAGGAGCACATGCCTGGAGTCATGGCACGGGTCCGGGAGCATTCGACGATGCTAGCCAGCTTGGCAGAAGCGATGGATCAGCTGGCCGACCGGATCCAGCCACCCACACCCCAGCACCCAGAGGGATGCATATATCCCGACCACTGGATTTCGACGGGACAGCTGCTCTCTGGCAGGGATTCCTCCTACAACTGGAGTTGTACTATTCAAACATCAGCCCGGCTCCATCGGAGCGGGAGAAGGTGTCCGCCCTCGTCTCCTGCCTCTCGGGGAAAGCCCTGGAATGGGCCAATGTGGTCTGGAGTGAAGGAGCCACGTGGACAACTACGGGGAGTTCGCTCGCCTCTTTCGGGCCATCTTCGATCACCCGCCCGAAGGTAGAGAGGTGGACGAGCGGCTGGTCCACGTGAGGCAGGGGACGAGGACCGCGCAGGACCTCGCCCTGGAGTTTCGAACTCTAGCGTCTGGTCCGGGTGGAACGAGCGGGCCCTCTTCGACCACTTCCGGTGCCATCTACGAGAGGACGTCCGAAGGGAGCTAGCCTGCCGGGACACCATGTTGTCCTTCAATTAACTGGTGGACATGGCCATCCGGTTGGACAACCTGTTGGATGCTAGAGGACGTCCCCCAACCCCCCAACCTGGATCATGAGCTGATGGAGCTGGGTGGAACGGCGATCCGGGAGAGCAGAGGACGACAGCGCCAGTGTCACTCTAATGGCAAGAGAGGACATTCTCCTGCACGCTGGAGGCGGCAGGCAGAGCACTCTCGCGTCACCCCAGGTATCGAACACCCACACTCGTTCAGAGCCCTCTTCTGCGCACTGTACCCTACCCGTCTACTTTCCTGATTACACAGTAGTTCCCCAGTGTAAGGCACTGGTCGATTCAGGCGCAGCTGGTAACTTTATGGACAGGTCATTTGCACATAGTCTAGGCATTACATTTGTTCCCCTATCCATTCCACTCCCCATTAGAGCACTTGACAGTCGACCACTAGGGTCCGGGTTCGTAAAGGAAGTTACAGCACCAGTCACCATGGTTACGCACGAGACCCATAGAGAGCAAGTCACCTTTTTTATTATTGAGTCTTCTGATTTCCCCAGTTAGCACTACACAACCCCACCTTTTCATGGCCGCAGAGGGTTCTCACGGGGTGGTCGCGAGAGTGTCAGGGTAGGTGTCTAGGTGTTTCCGTTGGTCCAACAACAGTGGAAAGTCCAGACACTACCTCCACCGTGTGCATTCCCCCCGAATACTTAGATTTGGTGCACGCGTTTTCTGAAACGCAGGCGACCAAATTACCACCTCATCGGGCGGGGGATTGCGCGATAAACCTCTGGGTAGACCCTGTGCCTCTCAGGAGTCATGTGTATTCCCTGACACAGGCTGAAACGGAGGCGATGGAGACATACGTTTCCGAGTCCCTGCGTCAGGGGTTCATACGTCCCTCCACCTCCTCAAGTTAATTTTTTGTGAAGAAGAAAGACGGAGATCTGCGCCCTTGCATTGATTACCGAGCACTGAACAAGGGGACAATACGTTATAGTTATCCTCTACCCCACATTCCATGTGTGATCGAGTCAATACATGGGGCGCGCTTCTTCACAAAATTAGATCTCCGGAGTGCGTTAAACCTGGTGCGTGTCCGAGAGGGGGACGAGTGGAAGACAGCATTCAGCACAACCACGGGGCATTACGAATACCTGGTGATGCCGTACGGTTTGATGCTCCATCAGTCTTCCAGTCCTTTGTGAACGAGGTGTTTCGGGACATGCTTGGTCGCAGTGCAGTGGTCTACATTGATGACATTCTGGTGTATTCCGCTATGCACGCCGAGCATGTGTCCCTGGTTCTCAAAGTGCTGGCCCGACTGTTGGAACATGAGCTTCATGCCAAGGAAGAAAAGTGTCTGTTTTTCCAACAGTCCGTCTCCTTCCTCGGATACCACATTACCACCTCAGGTGTGGAGATTGAGGGAGATCACATTTCAGCCGTCAGTAATTGGCCGACTCCAACCACGGTTAAGGAGGTACAGCGCTTTATTGGCTTCGCCAACTACTATCGGAGGTTTATCCGGGGCTTTGGCAAGGTCGCAGCTCCCATCACATCTCTGTTGAAGGGTGGGCCGTCCCGGCTCCACTGGTCTGCTGATGCTGACAGGGCCTTCAGTAACCTGAGTGTTCTGTTCACCTCAGCCCCGGTACTGGCCCATCCTGATCCATCACTACTGTTCGTAGTGGAGGTGGATGCGTCCGAGGTAGGGATAGGCTCTGTCCTATCTCAACACTCGGGCATGCCACCCAAGCTCCGCCCCTGTGCCTTCTTCTCCAAGAAGCTCAGCCCGGCGGAGCAGAACTACGACGTTGGTGATCGGGAGCTGTTGGCTGTTGTCCAAGCCCTGACCGTGTGGAGGCACTGGCTCAAGGGGGAGAAACACCCTTTCCTCGTCTGGATGGACCACCGTAACCTGGAGTACATCCGGGCAGTGAGGAGGCTGAACCCTCGCCAGGCCAGGTGGGCCCTATTCTTCACCCGGTTTGATTTTACTCTATCATACATCCCGGGTACGAAGAACATGAAGGCAGACGCACTGGCAAGGCTGTACGACACAGAGGAGAAGCCCATAGACAACACCCCCATACTCCCGGCCTCCTGTATTGTGGCGCCGGGAGTATGGGCTGTGGACGCGGACATAGAGCGGGCGTTACGCACAGAGCCATCTCCACCTCAGTGTCCAGCTGGGCTGCTGTACGTCTCTTGTCCGTGACCGTCTGATCTATTGGGCACACACGTCCCCCTCCTCTGGTCACCCAGGTATCGGTCGTACAGTGCGCTGCCTGACCGGAAAGTACTGGTGGCCTACCTTGGCTAAGGACATGTATGTCTCCTCCTGCTCGGTGTGCACCCAGAGTAAGGCACATAGGCACCTCCCAGCGGGTAAGTTACAGCCCTTACCAGTTCCACAACGGCCATGGTCCCACCTGTGTATTGACTTTCTCACTGATCTTCCCCTCTCTCAGGGTAACACCACCATCCTGGTCGTTGTGGACCGCTTTTCAAAAGCCTGCCACCTCCTTCCTCTGCCCGGTCTCCCCACGGCCCTGCAGACTGCGGAGGCCCTGTTTACTCATGTCTTCTGGCACTACGGGGTGCATAGCACTATTACAGCAACCACTTTAGTTGTTAATGATCTTCTCAATGCTTTAGACACTAAAATGAAATGTGCTGCTTTGTTTGTGGACCTTTCAAAAGCTTTTGATACTGTTGATCATGCTATTTTATTGAATAAGTTGTCCTCGATAGGCCTGAGCTCTGACGCCTGTTCATGGTTTCATGATTATCTTAGTGCTAGAACTCAGGCCAAGTCTGAATTAAGTCTGAATTTCTTGTAGTACATAAAGGTGTACCACAGGGGGCTATTTTGGGACCTGTTCTCTTCACTATTCATATAAACACTATTTGTCAATCTGTTAAAAATTGTAAACTTCATCTATATGCGGATGATACTTGTTATTTGGTGGTTTTTGAATACCTTCCTTAAAACATTCACTGAATATTTCAATAAGACTTTTAATAACACTGCTAGCTTATTTTGGGTTAACTTTCTTGAACTCCAAGCACAGATGGGACACATGGAAATGAATTTGCTTAAGCATTAATCATGCAAATACATGTATTATTTATTATGACAGAGAATCAGTGAGATTCCAACCTATAATCTTCTGTTCTCTATCCATGGAATTAGCATGCCATGTTTTTTTACACATACAAAGCTGTTCATTTTAGTCTATTCAAACACATCCCATTTCAAAGGAAACAAGCACTCATTAACCTCAGGTGTGGCCAATTAGTGGGCTTGGCCAACACATCTGAACACACTTAACAAGATAGAGGAACATTTTGTTCATGCTGAGAACAGAATGTATGTTTTTAAATAACATTCTTAGAACGTTTTCTAAACGTTACTATAGTTTTCTTGTGGTTTAATGGAAAGTTTTCTTAATGTTCTCGGAACAATTTGTAAACATGACTTTAAATAGAATCATGAGGAAATCTGTAGGAAACGTTAATGCTGAAGTTTTGAAATTCCCAAAAGCTAACTCTAAGTGTAAATATTGCCATCTCGCCATATTGCCATTGTCGCGTCACTGGTAGGAGAGAAAGTTTTGGAATTCCCAAAAGTGGCTGAATTTACCGAGAGCAGCAGTAGCTCTAAGTCAGAAAATGAATTAATGGAAGAGGAGGAAATAGTTAGAAAGCCAATAAACCTCCTGAAATCTTTCATGTTTGAGCCGATCATTGCCCCAGGTCGAAAAGTTCGTTCTCGGGGCAAGAATAGCAACTGCTCTGCTTTTGCATATTTGTGATACTGAATGTTATCAGATCTTCAACCAAAACCTAATATTAGATAAAGGGAACATAAGTGAACAAATAACACAACAATTACATATTTATTTCATTTATTTCATAAACAAAGTTATGCAACACCCAATTCCCCTATGTGAAAAAGTTATACTTTTGAATCATCTGTCCATAAAACGTTCTTCCAAGAGTCTTGATGATCATCCAGGTGCTTTTTGGCAAACTTGAGTCAACTTTTTGGACGAGATGGGTCCCATTATGCCTGGCGAAAACCAAACACTGCATTCCACAGTAAGAACATCATACCAAAGGTCAAGCATGGTGGTGGTGGTGTGATGGTTTGGGGATGCTTTGCTGCCTCAGGACCTGGACGACTTGCCTTAATAGAAGGAACCATGAATTCTGCTCTGTATCAGAGAATTCTACAGGAGAATGTCAGACCATCCATCTGTGAGCTGAAGCTGAAGCGCAGCTGGGTCATGCAGCAAGACAATGATCCAAAACACACAATCAAGTCGACATGAAAATTGTTAAAAAGCAACAAATTGGAAGTTTTGGAATGGCCTAGTCAAAGTCCAGACCTAATCCCAATTGAGATGTTGTGGCAGGACTTGAAACGAGCAGTTCATGCTTGAAATCCCACACGTCACTGAGTTAAAGCAGTTCTGCATGGAAGAGTGGGCCAAAATTCCTCCACAGCGATGTGAGAGACTGATCAACAACTACAGGAAGCATTTGGTTGGAGTCATTGCAGCTAAAGGTGGCACAACCAGTTATTGAGTGTAAGGGGGCAATTACTTTTTCACACAGGGGAATTGGGTGTTGCATAACTTTGTTTATTAAATAAAAATGTAATTGTTGTGTTATTTGTTCACTTATGTTCCTTTATCTAATATTAGGTTTTGGTTGAAGATCTGATAACATTCAGTATCACAAATATGCAAAAGTAGAGAAAATTAGAAAGGGGGCAAATACTTTTTCATAGCACTGTAGCTTAGGGAAGCACTGCCATCTTGTGGAAGCAATGGTAATTACACTGAGCAGCTAGTTTGAGATCTTAGACACTCAAGTTGGCACTTTGTTTGACAAAAAGCACACATTACAAATGTATTGTAAATAAAAACAAAAAAACATGTAAAACAGGTAGTGTAGAGATGCGGTCAGATATTCAGCAGGAGGCAGAAGGTTCGGGAGCATAACTGTTGATATTTATTTACATTATTCAAGTAGTGGTATCCGATAAAGATATTTACAATATTTACAAAGCCAAACGAACTGAGTCTCAAGCAGGCTTACCCTGTCTCTATCAGGTTAGACAGGTGGGGGTGTACCAGGCTAAAGCAGCCTCCCCAGTCAATTTTCCAAAACAGAACTGAATTCCCACCTAAAACAGGGCCATCCCGGAACGTATCATAAATCATCATAACATACAAAACTGTCTAATACACACAAATTGGGCACTCAGGAGGGTCTGCTGGGATGACCCTAGAGCCAGATAGGAGTTACACAAATCATTTTTGGTAATTTCATCTCAGCCAGCAGATGAGCTCCCGTCTAACCGACCTCCGCCATCCATACTGTGGAACACTGGGCTATGTGCATACTATATAATATGTGATGGCTATTTGATGATATTGTGGAGATTGTCGACTTTTTAACACAAAATAAATTACAGACAGTGTCACCAGCAAAGCACCCCCACACCATAACACCTCCTCCTCCATGCTTTACGGTGGGAAATACACATGTGGAGATCATCCCTTCACACTTAGGCCTCTACTTCCAGCTTATACATACTATGTACATTTTATGGACACAGTCAATCTTACAATAATTATATTTTGTTTGTTTTCACTCCTGAACTTCCTCCACCCACAACATTGCCGATAATTTTCATGATGTCCATCTGGTATGCTTCTATATGCCATTTCTTTCTAACTGTGCTCTTTCACAAAAGCTCTCAACCTATAACCTATATACTTATTATGGACACAGTATGCTTTACATTAGTTATCTTGTTGTTATTAGTTGTTGTTAGTTGTTATTAGTCCCATCCTTCAGCTCCATTCAACACCTCCCATCTATCTCTTAACACCATCCATATAGGATTTCTATTTGCCATATATTTTTTCAACTGTACTGTGATGTTTCACAAAAGTTCTGAACCCTTCTATTCTCATTGTTTCTACAGATTGTAAATTGAAAATAATAGTTTTTGCAAAAATTATTATTATATTATTGATCGATTGACTATGACTTTTCAGATCACCCAGTCGTGCTATCTGCAGAGTTAGCTCCAGTTAAATATTGCAATCCTTCAGCCATTCCTGGACCTGTGATCAAAAACAAGCTACAAATGGACAATACCAAAACAAATGATCTAATGATTCTGTCTATTCGCAGCAAAATCTGCAGAGCTGGGAAGATTGTATCCCCTATATAAATAACATTCTATATGTAGCAAGAATTTTGTATAATAATTTAAATTGAAAAATTCCAAGTTTTGAATCCGGCGTTGTTTTGCGTATCAGTTCATAAACACTATGCCATGGAACCGGAATGGGGCGGCAGGTAGCTTAGTGGTTAAGAGCGTTGTGCCAGTAACCGAAAGGTCGCTGGTACTAATCCCCGAGCCGACTAGGTGAAAAATCTGTCGATGTGCCCTTGAGCAAGGCACTTAACCCGAATTGCTCCTGTAAGTCGCTCTGGATAAGAGCATCTGCTAAATGACAAAAATATAAATGTAAAATGAATCGGTACGTCAAAAAACTTCCCAACTATTTTGCAATCTATATGGGATGGCTGTCGATCCTTTGGTCCTTAAATGAAACTGGTATACTTTTTTATTTATCACAGTTTCCTTTAACCAATTATGGTCTTTAATGCAGGGCTGACAGACAAGTTCCTTACTTTTGCCCCCTTCCCCTTTCCTCTTCCATTTTTGCAGTAATGCTTGAATTATTTGGAAGTAATTTTGGGTAGAGCAGACATTTCCATATGGTTTTGTTAGCTGCATGTGCGAAATTACTCCACCACTCCTACCTATGATGTCATTTATGAAGATTATACATTTTGTAAAAAAAAATCAAAAGATTATGGTTTTTTATCAATTAGTAATTTGAGTTTAACCACAATATTTGTTGCATTATTTGTTCTATCGTTTCTGGAGGATTCAATTGAAATTGCAACCAACTTTCTATGACTTGTTTTAGAAAGAGTGATATTTGGGAGATGATTTCCTTTACAACCTCTCACTTTCAGTTATTAGAAATCTGAATAAAGGGAAAAAGGCCATTCTTGAACATGGGGGGAGACAATCTTACTAATTTGCTAGAGAACCAGTTCGGATTTAAGTATAACTTTTGTATGACTGAAGCTTTTAGTGATAGGTCTAATGCTTTAATATTTAATCATTTCTGTCCTCCGAATTCATATTCATTTTAGAAATAGGCCCATTTAATGTCATTCTGATATAAATTCAAAAACTGTTTGCTAGGCATAGGCAAGACCATAAGTAAATAGGTAAACTGGGATAATAATATAGAGTTAATCAGGGTGATTTTTCCACAAATAGACAGGTATTTACCTTTCCATCTTATCTATTTTTAATAACTTTCTATAAAAATTTATTGGAGTGAGATCATTTATTTCATTTGGGATATGTATTCCGAGTATATCCACATCACCATCAGACCATTTTATTGGTAAACTACACGGTAATGTAAAAATTGTATTTTTTAGTGATCCAATATGTAATATAGTACATTTATCATAATTTGGTTGTAATCCAGAGAGGTTAGAAAATGTATCTAGATCCTCTATGAGGCTGTGGAGGGATTCAAGTTGTGGATTTAAAAGAAAACATGAATCATCAGCGTACAATGACACCTTTGTTTTTAAGCCCTGGATTTCTAATCCCTTGATATTATTGTTGGATCTGATTTTAATAGCTAACATTTCAATGGCCATAATAAATAGATATGCCGATAGTGGACAACCTTGTTTTACTCCTCTTGACAGTTTAAAACTTTTAGAGAAATAGCCATTATTTACTATTTTACACCTAGGGTTACTATACATGATTTTTACCCATTTTATAAGAGATTCTCCATAATTGAAATGCTTCAGGCATTTATATATAAACTCCAGTCGTACCTTATCAAATGCCTTTTCAAAGTCTGCTATGAAAAGTAGGCCTGTTTCCCAGATTTTTCATAGTGTTCTATTGTTTCCAGGACTTGCCTTATATTATCTCCAATGTATCATCCATGTAAAAAACCTGTCTGATTAGAATGAATAATGTCTGACAATACCTTTTTAATTCTATGTGCTACACATTTTGCTAGAATTTTTGCATCACAACACTGAAGTGTAAGGTGCCTCCAATTTTTTTAATGGACTGGATATTTTTCTATTTCTCACTTGTATCCCGTTTCAGTAATAATGAAATCAGACCTTCTTGAGTACCATTTACAGTTGAAGTTGGAAGTTTATGAAAAAAAAGAAAGAAAAGGTATGCACTCACTTAACTGTAAGTCGCTCTGGATAAGAGCGTCTGCTAAATGACTAAAATGTAAAAAATGTTTACATACACTTAGGTTGGAGTCATTCAAATGCTTTTTTCAACCACTCCACAAATTTATTGTTAACAAACTATAGTTTTGGCAAGTCGGTTAGGACATCTTCTTTGTGCATGACACAAGTAATGTTTCCAACAATTGTTTACAGACAGATTATTTCACTTATAATTCATTGTATCACATTTCCAGTGGGTCAGAAGTTTACATACACTAAGTTGAATGTGCCTTAAAACAGCTTGTAAAATTCCAGAAAATGATGTCATGGCTTTAGAAGCTTCTGATAGGCTAACTGACATAATGTGAGTCAATTGGAGAGGTACCTGTGGATGTATTTCAAGGCCTACCTTCAAAATCAGTGCCTCTTTGCTTGACATCATTGGAAAATCAAAAGAAATCAGCCAAGACCTCAGAAAAAAAAATGTAGACCTCCACAAGTCTGGTTCATCCTTGGGAGCAATTTCCAAACGCCTGAAGGTACCACGTTCATCTGTATAAACAATAGTACGCAAGTATAAACACCATGGGACAACACAGCCGTCAATCCGCTCAGGAAGGAGACGCGTTCTTTCTCCTAGAGATGAACGTACTTTGGTGCGAAAAGTGCAAATCAATCCCAGAACAACAGCAAAGGACCTTGTGAAGATGCTGGGGGAAAAAGGTACAAAAGTATCTATATCCACAGTAAAACCAGTCCTATATCGACATAACCTGAAAAGCTGCTCAGCAAGGAAGAAGCCACTGCTCCAAAACCGCCATAAAAAAGCCAGAGTACGGTTTGCAACTGCACATGGGGACAAAGATTGTACTTTTTGGAGAAATGTCCTCTGGTCTGATGAAACAAAAATAGAACTGTTTGGCCATAATGACCATCGTTATGTTTGGAAGAAAATGGGGGTTGCTTGCAAGCCGAAGAACACCATCCCAACCGTGAAGCATGGGGGTGGCAGCATCATGCTGTGGGGGTGCTTTGCTGCAGGAGCACTTCACAAAATAGATGGCATCATGAGGAAGGAAAAATATGTGGATATATTGAAGCAACATCTCAAGACATCAGTCAGGAAGTTAAAGCTTGGTCGCAAATGGGTCTTCCAAATGGACAATGACTGCAAGCATACTTCCAAAGTTGTGGCAAAATGGCTTAAGGACAACAAAGTCAAGGTATTGGAGTGGCCATCACAATGCCGTGACCTCAATCCTATAGAAAATGTGTGGGCAGAACTGAAAAAGCATGTGCGATCAAGGAGGCCTACAAACCTGACTCAGTTACATTTACATTACATTTACATTTAAGTCATTTAGCAGACGCTCTTATCCAGAGCGACTTACAAATAGGTGCATTCACCCTATAGCCAGTGGGTTAACCACTTTACAACAATTTTATTTATTTTTTATTTATTTTATTTTAATTTTTTATATTTTTAAAAAAAAAAAATTTTGGGGGGGGGGCTAGACGGATTACTTCATCCTATCCCAGGTATTCCTTAAAGAGGTGGGGTTTCAAATGTCTCCGGAAGGTGGTGAGTGACTCCGCTGTCCTGGCGTCGTGAGGGAGCTTGTTCCACCATTGGGGTGCCAGAGCAGCGAACAGTTTTGACTGGGCTGAGCGGGAACTATGCTTCCGCAGAGGAAGGGGAGCCAGCAGGCCAGAGGTGGATGAACGCAATGCCCTCGTTTGGGTGTAGGGACTGATCAGAGCCTGAAGGTACGGAGGTGCCGTTCCCCTCACTGCTCCATAGGCAAGCACCATGGTCTTGTAACGGATGCGAGCTTCAACTGGAAGCCAGTGGAGTGTGCGGAGGAGGGGGGTGACGTGAGAGAACTTGGGAAGGTTGAACACCAGACGGGCTGCGGCATTCTGGATGAGTTGTAGGGGTTTAATGGCACAGGCAGGGAGCCCAGCCAACAGCGAGTTGCAGTAATCCAGACGGGAGATGACAAGTGCCTGGATTAGCACCTGTGCCGCTTCCTGTGTAAGGCAGGGTCGTACTCTCCGAATGTTGTAGAGCATGAACCTGCAGGATCGGGTCACCGCCTTGATGTTAGCAGAGAACGACAGGGTGTTGTCCAGGGTCACGCCAAGGCTCTTCGCACTCTGGGAGGAGGACACAACGGAGTTGTCAACCGTGATGGCGAGATCATGGAACGGGCAGTCCTTCCCCGGGAGGAAGAGCAGCTCCGTCTTGCCAGGGTTCAGCTTGAGGTGGTGATCCGTCATCCATACTGATATGTCGGCCAGACATGCAGAGATGCGATTCGCCACCTGGTTATCAGAAGGGGGAAAGGAGAAGATTAGTTGTGTATCGTCAGCGTAGCAATGATAGGAGAGGCCATGTGAGGATATGACAGAGCCAAGTGACTTGGTGTATAGGGAGAAAAGGAGAGGGCCTAGAACTGAGCCCTGGGGGACACCAGTGGTGAGAGCACGTGGTGCGGAGACAGCTTCTCGCCACGCCACTTGGTAGGAGCGACCGGTCAGGTAGGACGCAATCCAGGAGTGAGCCGCGCCGGAGATGCCCAGCTCGGAGAGGGTGGAGAGGAGGATCTGATGGTTCACAGTATCAAAGGCAACAGACAGGTCTAGAAGGACAAGAGCAGAGGAGAGAGAGTTAGCTTTAGCAGTGCGGAGAGCCTCCGTGACACAGAGAAGAGCAGTCTCAGTTGAATGACCAGTCCTGAAACCTGACTGGTTTGGATCAAGAAGGTCATTCTGAGAGAGATAGCAAGAGAGTTGGCTAAAGACGGCACGCTCAATAGTTTTGGAAAGAAAAGAAAGAAGGGATACTGGTCTGTAGTTGTTGACATCAGTGGGATCGAGTGTTGGTTTTTTGAGAAGGGGTGCAACTCTCGCTCTCTTGAAGACGGAAGGGACATGGCCAGCGGTCAAGGATGAGTTGATCAGCGAGGTGAGGTAGGGGAGAAGGTCACCGGAGATGGTCTGGAGAAGAGAGGAGGGGATGGGGTCAAGCGGGCAGGTTGTTGGGCGGCCTGCAGTCACTAGTCGCAATATTTTATCTGGAGAGAGAGGGGAGAAAGAAGTCAAAGCATAGGGTAGGGCAGTGTGAGCAGGACCAGCAGTGTCATTAGACTTAACAAACGAGGATCGGATGTCGTCAACCTTCTTTTCAAAGTGGTTGACGAAGTCATCCACAGAGAGGGAGGAGGGGGGGGGGGGGATTCAGCAGTGAGGAGAATGTGGCAAAGAGCTTCCTAGGGTTAGAGGCAGATGCTTGGAATTTAGAGTGGTAGAAAGTGGCCTTAGCAGCAGAAACAGATGAAGAAAATGTAGAGAGGAGGGAGTGAAAAGATGCCAGGTCGGCAGGGAGTTTAGTTTTCTTCCATTTCCGCTCAGCTGCCCGGAGCTCTGTTCTGTGAGCTCGCAATGAGTCATCAAGCCACGGAGCTGGAGGGGAGGACCGAGCCGGCCGGGAGGATAGGGGACACAGGGAGTCAAAGGATGCAGAAAGGGAGGAGAGGAGGGTTGAGGAGGCAGAATCAGGAGATTGGAGGGAGAAGGATTGAGCAGAGGGAAGAGATGATAGGATGGAAGAGGAGAGAGTAGTGGGAGAGAGAGAGCGAAGGTTGCGGCGGCGCGTTACCATCTGTGTAGGGGCAGAGTAATATTATTTTGTTATTATCTGCAAAGCCGTTACAATTATATATTATAATTGGCTATACTTATTTCAACACTTACCATAAAAAGATACAAGTTTCAAATCTATTTATTATAATATATGTTTGTAAATTTTCCAATAAAAGGTACCATAGTGATTGAGTATCCATATACAGTGGCTTGTGAAAGTATTCACCCCCTTTGGCATTTTTCCTATTTTGTTGCCTTACAACCTGGAATTCAATTAGATTTTTTGTGGGGTTTGTATCATTTGATTTGAAGATGCAAAATATTTAATAATACCAAGTCTCTTGGTGTATGTCTCTATAAGCTTGGCACATCTAGCCACTGTCATTTTTGCTCATTCTACAAGGAAAAACTGCACCAGCTCCTTCAAGTTAGATGGGTTCCGCTTGTGTACAGCAATCTTTAAGTCATACCACAGATTCTCAATTGGATTGAGGTCTGGGCTTTGACTAGGCCATTCCAAGACATTTAAATGTTTCCCCTTAAACCACTCGAGTGTTGCTTTAGCAGTATGCTTAGGGTCAATGTCCTGCTGGAAGGTGAACCTCCGTCCCAGTCTCAAATCTCTGGAAGACTGAAACAGGTTTACCTCAAGAATTTCCCTGTGTTTAGCGTCATCCATCATTCCTTAAATTCTGACCAGTTTCCCAGTCCCTGCCGATGAAAAACATCCCTACAGCATGATGCTGCCACCACCATGCTTCACTGTGGGGATGGTGTTCTCGGAGTGATGAGTGGTGTTGGGTTTGTGCCAGACATAGTGTTTTCCATGATGGCCAAAAAGTTCAATTTTAGTCTCATCTGACCAGATTACCTTCTTCCATATGTTTGGGGAGTCTCCCACATGCCTTCTGGCGAACACCAAACGTGTTTGCTTATTTTTTTCTTTAAGCAATAGCTTTTTTTCTGGCCACTCTTCTATAAAGGCCAGCTTTGTGGAGTGTACGGCTTAAAGTGGTCCTATGGACAGATACTCCAATCTCCGCTGTGGAGCTTTGCAGCTCCTTCAGGGTTATCTTTGGTCTCTTTGTTGCCTCTCTGATTAATGCCCTCCTTGCCTGGTCCGTAAGTTTTGGTGGGCGGCCCACTCTTGGCAGGTTTGTTGTGGTGTCATATTCTTTCCATTTTTAAATAATGGATTTAATGGTGCTCCGTGAGATTCTCAAAGTTCTTCATGGTGCCACTTGCTTGGTGGTGCCCCTTGCTTAGTGGTGTTGCAGACTCTGGGGCCTTTCAGAACAGGTGTCTATATACTGAGATCATGTGACAGATCATGTGACACTGAGATTGCACACAGGTGGACTTTATTTAACTAATTATGTGACTTCTGAAGGTAATTGGTTGCACCAGATCTTATTTAGGGGGTTCATAGCAAAGGAGGTGAATACATATGCCTGCACCACATTTCCGTTATTTATTTTTTCAATATTTTTGAAACAAGTTATTTTTTTCATTTCACTTCACCTATTTGGACTATTTTGTGTATGTCCATTAAATGAAATCCAAATAAAAATCCATTTAATTTACAGGTTGTAATGCAACAAAATAGGAAAAACGCCAAGGGGTATGAATACTTTTGCAAGGCACTGTAGCTGTACCATGATATTTGCATTGCTACTAAGTAACCCTCCAATTGTTCTCCACTATTCCCTCCGCTAAAGCCCCTCCCCATCCCAAGTTGGGTTGTCATCCCAGTGATCGGCATACCACCCCTGTCCCCCCGGATCCCTAGGCCCCCCGAGAGGCCAGGACCCATCCTTCGAAAACAGCACACAGTGCCACCCACTTCTTATCTTCTGTATCCCCCCCCCCCCCCCCCCCCCCACCTTGTCACAGCACAACTTATTGGCTCAAACGCATTAAGAAGGAAAGAAATTCCACAAATTAACTTTTAAGAAGGCACACCTGTTAATTAAAATGATTCCAGGTGACTACCTCATGAAGCTGGTTGAGAGAATGCCAAGTGTGTGCAATGCTGTCATCAAGGCAAAAGGGTGGCTATTTGAAGAATCTCAAATGTAAAATGTATTTTGATTTGTTTAACACTTTCTTGGTTACTACATGATTCCATATGTGTTATTTCATAGTTTTGATGTCGTCACTATTATTCTACAATGTAGAAAATAGTAAAAATAAAGAAAAACCCTTGAATGAGTAGGCGTGTCCAAACTTTTGACCGGTAGTGTATGTACAGACATATATTTTGAAAATTACCTTCTCGAGATCCTTTAGCAATCTCGAGTTGAGGACGACGTTTCTAACTTTCTCAAAAGCTGCTGATGACGTGTTCAGCCAGGGGCGTGTTTCTTCCTCTTCGGGTGTGTGTGGGGGTGGGGTTCACATCTGTTACGGGAGTCTCCATTGACCCACTGGTGCTCATTTGTGATGTGGTGAACTTCAGTGATCCATTTTCCTTTCAGCACCTGGACACTTCCACCAGCAGTGACGGCACAGTACCACTGCCCTCACCCATGGCAGTACCTGAGACAGATAGGGAACAAATGAGACACCTGAGTCATTGACTTGAATGATCGCCTCTGTCTGAAAATTCATTTGTAAAAATAAATAAAACCAAATTCATTCCTATATTGTGACAAGTTCAGGTGGTTCTGAGTTTACCATAAAATATATGACAGTACCTCTGGCTTCCCGATAGCCAACAGCTGTTTCCTCACACCTTTGGCTACTGTATGTGCCACAGGTCGTACTCATGCCAGATATGAGAATAGGAGTCCCTCAAGAGCACCCTCACACTTGGATGCCTGTCGGTGGCCAGGGTTTCAACTACGCATCCATGGGCCTGTAAGGATAATAATAAAGGCATTATTACTAAAGGTACCTAAAGTAGGCCTACACATTGCATAACAGCATTAATTGCATTTGACAAAGACAAAAAATAGGTTATAGCTTACCTCAGTGTGTTGCAGGCATCTCTCTAATCCTTCTGTCTCCAACCAGTAGATGTTCTTCAACTCGGTCACATGCACACTCTCCTGGGCGAGGATCAGGTGGGAAGCAGAGTCCAGGATGGTGTAAGTGCCAAATGATGTAGAGGCGCTGTATGTTGGTGAACTGTTGCCGCGAGATGGACACCAGGCTGAGGAGGTGACAAGTTTCCACAAATGTGGTGTGGGAGTTGTTTGGAGGGATTCCCTGCAAACAACTTTCCCACTCTGGTCTGGAACTACCACTTCCTCTTGTAGCCCACAACACACTCGGACTCCATGGTGATGGCAAAACCACTTCTGTACTGGGATGAGCTGATTACACTTGCGCCACATCCTGGCTCATGGCAGACATTAAACAGCTCCTTCAGCTTGCTATCGAAGATGATGGATTTTGCATCTTGCACACACTCTTCGATAGAAACTCCTGGCTCGCACTGCGATGATTGTGATTCTGAGCTGCTTCTCTCAGGCTCAAACAGTGAGACCTGGTCTTGACTCATCTCATTCTCACTCTTACTGTCAGTCAGCTCCTCCATGATCTGTGGTGAAAAGGGGCAGGGCTTGGTCATACACAGATGGGCATGAGCGCAGACTAGCTGTGCCTCCAGCTCTGTAGTGATGGTCCCGGTGGACCTCTTCTCCAGCTCAGCACAAGGACACTGGCACCCAGGGGTCAGTTTGGCAAGCAGTACTAACCATTCTTTCCTGTTGGTAGAAAACAAATTAAGTCAGTTGTACTAAGAACATGATGAGGCATCTTTTAGGCTATAGCTACAGTATATTCTTCAAGAATCACTGCATATACTGTATATTGTCCATTTTATATCCAAATTCCCCTCAGGAAAGACAGATTGTGGCATGAAATAAAAATAGCTTAGAAATAACACGGGTTTGCATGCAGCTACCTCCTCTGACTCCTGCACAGTCTCCACGGTCTCCTCCAGGATGAAAACCTTTTTAGGGATGACGATGTCATCCTGAAAACAAACAAACATTTTGTTACATTTGCAGAACAAAATATATCAGTTGGTTGTAAATGTGTTATGCACACAGACAAACACACACACACACAGTATGTGACATACAAATACAGGGACATTTTACAACAAACATTATGTAAACTTCAGTCTAACCATCTAATCTACACACACAGACACAGCAGAGAAAATACAGGAAGCGACATTTCTCTTTCAGCAAACTGTTAGAAATAGCGTAATACAAATCTGGTATTGGAATAAGAGAAAACATAATCAAGAGATATTCAATCCAAGCTAAATTTATTATATGCAAAATATATGTATGATAAGTATGATGGTTCGTATACGGGCTCACTGAAATACCACGCAGGGCAGACAGAGAACTGATCCATTGTTACAGGCTGTTCTTTAAATACCCTGACAGTGATAGTTCCCGCTCCTTGCTGGGCCTATCAGGGTAGAGACTGAGCGTGGTTTAGACTTACTCAGCCTATCCGTTGGCGCACAGGCTGGTCCCAGCCCCTTGGCGCTTCACTGTTGCCAGGTGTCTAGTTGTTTTGCAACTTATCCAGAAAGTCAGCACTTTTTGCAGTACACATGTCCTTGAGTATGATGGTTTAACAAAGAGGCAGTGTGTATGTGTCTGTGAGAAATACAAGTCTGTCTCACCCTACTCCCTAACATTCCTCACATGAATCACATCATGTTATGTGAAACAATTTATATCAGTACAGTACAAACCTTTTATGTTTAATCATTAATGCATTCTTTCTAAGCTAGTCATCACATCTAGATTCCCACAAAACATTGGCTATGTCAACTTCAGTCTATCTATCTAAGGTGGCGCTAACAAAATCAGGTAGCTAGCTAGCTAGCAACACTTGTTGACAGCTAACGTTACTGACTAACATTAGCTGCTGCAGGCCAAATCAAATCTCTGTCAGCATAACTAGCTGATCTTACTTTCACTGACTCGCGCTGCCTCCTCCGTTCATTCCTTGACACTGTCTGAAGTAATCGATGTTGTCGATGATGGTCGGTCAGTAACCCAAACACCGTAACTGTCAAAGTTGAAGATGGAGGGGCAAGTGGAGGGCTTCAATGTTTGACTTCTTTCCATTCGGAAACTCCCGCTTGCTACATCAAAAGTGCCTTTCATAACAAAGTCCTCCTCCGCAAAGTGCTAGCTACAGACACTGCCTTGTGAGCTGGCACGTCCTTCCTCTTCCACTTTTTCCAGTATTGTGGGTCCTTGGGATTGTTTTTGTAGCAATTAGTACAGCCTGGGGCTATACAGTTCACGTTTGAATTACTTCTCGCCATCTTCATCGTCCGCTGCTCACTCTTCGATTCACTCTCCACACCAAAACTCAATACCACAGACAATTTGCTCACTCCTACCAATGACGCATTGGTGTCAGTCGTTACTATGGCAATTTAAGATGGCACTGACCATAGGTCAAATAAACGTTGTTCAAGATCAAAATATTAAAAATAGGTTTCTATGTTACATGCACATGTTTAGTATTAGTGGATTGAATACATATTGTTGCTAAGCTTTCCTAAAGTGTTTCCGTTCCCCTTTAATGTTCTCTGAACTATTTGAGAATTATTCCCAATGTCAAACCAGTTGGAGAACGTTCCTAGAACATTACCAAAATTGAAATGAAATGTAACCATGTTTGAACTTTTAGGACACCAGGGTTAACACCCCTACTCTTATGATAAGTGCCATGGGATCTTTAGTGACCACAGAGGACACCCGTTTTAACTTCCCATCTGAAAGACAACACCCTACGCAGGGCAATGTCCCCTTCACTGCCCTGGGGCATTGGGATCTCCTTAGACCAGAGGGAAGCATTCCCAAACTGGCCCTCCAACACCACTTCCAGCAGCATCTGGTCTCCCATCCAGGACTGACTCTGCTTAGCTTCAGAGGCAAGCCAGCAGTGGGATGCAGGGTGGTAGGCTGCTGGAAAATAAAATATAATGCTCTTTGCTCTGTGTCTGAGCCCCCTGTGAAAACACTGATATTCTCAGCTAAACAGATACAGTGGGGAAAAAAAGTATTTAGTCAGCCACCAATTGTGCAAGTTCTCCCACTTAAAAAGATGAGAGAGGCCTGTAATTTTCATCATAGGTACACGTCAACTATGACAGACAAAATGAGGAAAAAAATCCAGAAAATCACATTGTAGGATTTTTTATGAATTTATTTGCAAATTATGGTGGAAAATAAGTATTTGGTCAATAACAAAAGTTTCTCAATACTTTGTTATATACCCTTTGTTGGCAATGACACAGGTCAAACGTTTTCTGTAAGTCTTCACAAGGTTTTCACACACTGTTGCTGGTATTTTGGCCCATTCCTCCATGCAGATCTCCTCTAGAGCCATGATGTTTTGGGGCTGTCGCTGGGCAACACGGACTTTCAACTCCCTCCAAATATTTTCTATGGGGTTGAGATCTGGAGACTGGCTAGGCCACTCCAGGACCTTGAAATGCTTCTTCCGAAGCCACTCCTTCGTTGCCCGGGCGGTGTGTTTGGGATCATTGTCATGCTGAAAGACCCAGCCACGTTTCATCTTCAATGCCCTTGCTGATGGAAGGAGGTTTTCACTCAAAATCTCACGATACATGGCCCCATTCATTCTTTCCTTTTGCAGTCATCCACTCTTTTATATCAACAATACAGGATTCTAAGTGCGATGTTTGTGTGATGTCAGCGGTTTCATAGACAGATAAACCTGAGTGTCATCAGCATAGCATTGAAAGTACATTTTGTTTACAGTGGGGAAAAAAAGTATTTAGTCAGCCACCAATTGTGCAAGTTCTCCCACTTAAAAAGATGAGAGAGGCCTGTAATTTTCATCATAGACATTTTTTTTTTGTGCAAATTATGGTGGAAAATAAGTATTTGGTCACCTACAAACAAGCAATATTTCTGGCTCTCACAGACTTGTAACTTCTTCTTTAAGAGGCTCCTCTGTCCTCCACTCGTTACCTGTATTAATGGCACCTGTTTGAACTTGTTATCAGTATAAAATACACCTGTCCACAACCTCAAACAGTCACACTCCAAACTCCACTATGGCCAAGACCAAAGAGCTGTCAAAGGACACCAGAAACAAAATTGTAGACCTGCACCAGGCTGGGAAGACTGAATATGCAATAGGTAAGCAGCTTGGTTTGAAGAAATCAACGGTGGGAGCAATTATTAGGAAATGGAAGACATACAAGACCACTGATAATCTCCCTCGATCTGGGGCTCCACGCAAGATCTCACCCCGTGGGGTCAAAATGATCACAAGAACGGTGAGCAAAAATCCCAGACCCACACGGGGGGACCTAGTGAATGACCTGCAGAGAGCTGGGACCAAAGTAACAAAGCCTACCATCAGTAACACACTACACTGCCAGGGACTCAAATCCTGCAGTGCAAGACGTGTCCCCCTGCTTAAGCCAGTACATGTCCAGGCCCGTCTGAAGTTTGCTAGAGTGCATTTGGATGATCCAGAAGAGGATTGGGAGAATGTCATATGGTCAGATGAAACCAAAATATAACTTTTTGGTAAAAACTCAACTCGTCGTGTTTGGAGGACAAAGAATGCTGAGTTGCATCCAAAGAACACCATACCTACTGTGAAGCATGGGGGTGGAAACATCATGCTTTGGGGCTGTTTTTCTGCAAAGGGACCAGGACGACTGATCCGTGTAAAGGAAATAATGAATGGGGCCATGTATCGTGAGATTTTGAGTGAAAACCTCCTTCCATCAGCAAGGGCATTGAAGATGAAACGTGGCTGGGTCTTTCAGCATGACAATGATCCCAAACACACCGCCCGGGCAACGAAGGAGTGGCTTCGTAAGAAGCATTTCAAGGTCCTGGAGTGGCCTAGCCAGTCTCCAGATCTCAACCCCATAGAAAATCTTTGGAGGGAGTTGAAAGTCTGTGTTGCCCAGCGACAGCCCCAAAACATCACTGCTCTAGAGGAGATCTGCATGGAGGAATGGGCCAAAATACCAGCAAGTGTGTGAAAACCTTGTGAAGACTTACAGAAAAAGTTTGACCTGTGTCATTGCCAACAAAGGGTATATAACAAAGTATTGAGAAACTTTTGTTATTGACCAAATACTTATTTTCCACCATCATTTGCAAATAAATTCATAAAAAATCCTACAATGTGATTTTCTGGATTTTTTTCCTCATTTTGTCTGTCATAGTTGACGTGTACCTATGATGAACATTACAGGCCTCTCTCATCTTTTTAAGTGGGAGAACTCCCACTGTATATCACCTAAATGTAACATGTCCTTGTTCAACCATCATAGATTGATGATGACCATGACACGATTCATTGGGATGAGTCTGGGGTATGGTGAGTGCGCAGATGGCTGATGAGACCAATCTGAGCCCGGAACACTCTTTGGCACACTGGACATGATATCTTGGTAGCAGTCTCCTGACGGTTCTGTTAATACAGGTTTTGTCTCTTGTGCTCGCTTCCCATTCTTCAGCTCTCTGAAGAAGATCTGCTTAGGGAGAAGGGTAGCAGGCATCCTGGCCACATGGCCCGCCCATTTGAGATGTGCTTTTATAAGCAGTGTGGGAATGCTCATCATGTCGGCACAGCTGAGGACTTCAGTGTCTGGGATTGTGTCCTGCCACTTGATCCTCAAGAGCTTCCTCAAAGAAAATAATATGGACCCAAAATCGACCTTGGGTAAGGATTCATTATCTAATTGTACAAACTGGAGTCTGTCTGAAAGGTAAGAGCGGAACCAAGAGAGTCTCTGACCTCAAAGACCAATATTTGTTTCTAAGCACCTGAGAAGGGTATGATGGTCAATAGTATCAAAAGCTGCGCTTAGATCGAGTAGAATGAGTATGGAGAGAGAGACATTATCAGATGCAAGTTGTAAGTCATTGGTGACTTTTATAAGGGCCGTTTCGGTACTGTGGTGAGGTCTAAAACCAGATCGATAGGATTCAAAGATTGAGTTTGTATTTATAAAATCAATTTTGGACAGTTTACTTAGTGTGAGCCTAAAATATTCCAGAGTAGATAAGGGTGTCAAATCATGGTGCTCGTGCACTATGGGCATGTTAAAGGTATTTGAGGGGTTAGTTGGTAAAGTAGAAGTTGAGGTTATTTTATCTCATTGAATCAATTTTGTCTGTAAAGAAAGTCATATAATCAGAACTGGAATATTGAGTTTGTAACAATTGGCTTTTGGTCATTTTAGCAACCGTATCCAATAGACATTTAGATTATTTTCATTAAGTTTGGACAGAGTTAATTCACATGAATTGCTTTTGGAGAAAGAAATCTGATGTTCAACAATCCAAATTTGAGTTTGATTTCTGGTAAGGTAATATATGAATAAACAGCAGCTGGGTGGCAGGGCTAAATGCCCCTGGGGCGAGTGGGCCTGCCAAGACAGTCTCAATGGGATAGGAATCAGGACGAAAACTCAACTCAGGACAAAAACTTAGCTCAGATCCCTTGAAGCTCGCAGATAACAATAAGGGACTATTTATCTGTTGAGTAACTGGGGTCACAGTTACACAATTTTTTTCACATTTACCACATTTACACAACTGAAGGTGCTGATCAAGGGATCTTGCCTAAGGTTTTTTTCTGTGTTGTGCAGTGTTGGAGAGAGCCACCAGTTCCCAATCAAAACACTGAGGGAGTCCCAAAGTCGACTGCTGAACAGCGCCCCGTCCTGGACAGAGAATGGGGCCGCAGAGGACAAAGAGAGACTGGGTGAGGGATCAACTATCTGATGGGTTATTTTCAGTGGTTAAATTGAGCCGGAGTCAAAGGCAAAGCGAGGTGGAGCCGAGCTAACCCTAACCCTAACCCTATCCCTAACTTCATGTCCACATCCTGGTTCAACCCTAACCCTATCCTCAACCACAACCCTAACTCTTACCCTAGGTTCATGTCCACATCCAGGTTGAACTCTATTTACTGTAGGCATGTTTTGTTTTTTAGGCACAAGTAACATAGAAATGGCCTTAGAAAATGAAACATAACCACAGTGAGGAATGAGGACTTGTACCTGGAAACATAGGTGAGTTGGACATTTACAGTATCTCAATATTTAAATAATATTATTATCCACGAAGCTTGAGATAAAAACGATATGATTTATATATAATGTGTCACATAATATTTATTTCATTCAACAGGTCCCAGTGTTCAGAGTGCCTATGAGAATGTGCAGTTGTGATAACATCTTACCATAACCTGTCAGCTGCTTATAAGGTTTAGTTTACTGTTGTTTTTGCTCTCAACATTATCATTGGAAACAGACATTACATTTGAATCCAAGGAAACATCATTGTTATTTTTGTTTCTAGATAAATAATTTAACATGGTGAAAACTGGTTTCCTGGAGCCACTTTTGTATGTGGTCAGTAAATCTATTTTCTTTTAGTAAAGGGCCCTTGAAGTATTGTTGTACAATTTGATTATCTTGGACTTCATAATCCCCAAATTAATATGTGTTTGTTTTTGTATTTATTTTCTACTTCAGTGTAATGTCTAAACTTGAATGACTAACTTGCATACAGTGCCTTCAGAAAGTATTGACACCACTTTACCTTTTCCACATTTTGTTGTGTTAAAGCCTGAATTTAAATGATTTTGTTTCACTGGCCTACACCCAATACCCCATAATGTCAAAATGGAAGTATTCTTTTTTTTTTTTTTTTTTCTTTATTCCACGCCTGAAAGGGCCAAAAATATATACAATACCAGTCAAAAGTTTGGACACCTACTCATTCAAGGGTTTTTCTTTATTTTTACTATTTTCACTTTGTAGAATAATAGTGAAGACATCAAAACTAGAGTGTGCAAAGCTGTCATCAAGGCAAAGGGTGGCTACTTTGAAGAATCTAAAATCTAAAATATATTTTGATTTGTTTAACACTTTTTTGGTTACTACATGATTCCATATGAGTTATTTCATAGTTTTGATGTCTTCACTATTATTCTACAATGTAGGAAATAGTACAAATAAAGAAAAACCCTTGAATGAGTAGGTGTGTCCAAACCTTCGACTGGTACTGTATACAGTGAAAATTCCGACCTTGACTTTTTCCACATTATGTTACGTTACAGCCTTATTCTAAAATTGATTGAATTGTTTTTTTCCCCTCATCAATCTACACACAATACCCCATAATGACAAAGCAAAAAAAGTTTGTAGAAATGTTTGCAAATGAAAAAAGATTATATTACATTCACATAAGTATTCAGACGCTTTAATCTGTACTTTGTTGAAGAGCCTTTGGCAGCGATTACAGCCTTTTGTCTTCTTGGGTAGGATGCTACAAGCTTGGTACACCTGTATTTGGGGAGTTTCTCCCATTCTACTCTGCAGATCCTCTCAAGCTCTGTCAGGTTGGATGGGAAGTGTCGCTGCACAGCTATTTTCAGGTCTCTCCAGAGATGTTCGATCAAGTTCAAGTCCGGGCTCTGGCTGGGCCACTCAAGGACATTCAGAGACTTGTCCCGAAGCCACGCCTGAGTTGTCTTGGCGGTGTGCTTAGGGTCATTGTCCTTTTGGAAGGTTAACCTTTGGAGCAGGTTTTCATAAAGGATCTCTCTGTACTTTGCTCATCTTTCCCTCGATCCTGACTGGTCTCCCAGTCCCTGCCGCTGAAAAACATACCCACAGCATGATGCTGCCACCACCATGCTTCACCGTAGGGATGGTGCCAGGTTTCCTCCAGATGTGACGCTTGGCATTCAGGCCAAAGAGTTCAATCTTGGTTTCATCAGACCATATCATCTTGTTTCTCATGGTCTGAGTACCTTTGGGTTCCTTTTGGCAAACTCCATGCAGGCTGTCATGTGCCCTTTACTAAGGAGTGGCTTCAGTCTGGCCACTCTACCATAAAGGCCTGATTGGTGGAGTGCTGCAAATGGTTGTGCTTCTGGAAGGTTCTGCCATCTCCACAGAGGAACTCTGGAGCTCTGTCAGAGTGACCATCGGGTTCTTGGTCACCTCCCTGACCAAGGCCCTTTTCCCTCGATTGCTCAGTTTGGCTGGTCGGCCAGCTCTAGGAAGTGTCTTGGTGGTTCCAAACTTCTTCCATTTAAGAATGATGGAGGTCACTGTGTTCTTGGGGACCTTCAATGCTGCAGAAATGTTTTGTTACCCATCCCCAGATCTGTGCCTCGATACAATCCTGTCTCGGAGCTCTACGGACAATTCCTTCGACCTCGTGGCTTGGTTTTTGCTCTGACATGCACTGTCAACTGTGTGACCTTATATAGACAGGTGTGTGCCTTTCCAAATCAAATCAAATAAAATTGTATTTCTCCCATGTGCCGAATACAACAGGTGTAGACCTTACCGTGAAATGCTTACTTACAAGCTCTTAATCAACAATGCAGTTCAAGAAATAGAGTTAAGAAAGGATTTACTAAATAAAGTAAAGTAAAAATAAACAAAATAATCTAAAAGTAACACAATAAAATTACGAGGCTATATACAGGGGGTACCGGTAATGAGTCAATGTGCGGGGGTACAGTTTAGTCGAGGTAATTTGTAAAGTGACTATGCATAGTGTGAGAGTTCAGTGACCGGCTGGAGAAAGACGACACAACAGCACCCTCCTCAGGGGATAGGTACTCAGTGTAAAGCCAATTAGTACAAAGCTGGGCTTGCTAATTGCTTTGTGTCTCTCTATAAAGGTGTGCCAGGAGATGAGCTCGGGGCTGCGAGCATACACAGGGACCTGTAAGGACGTTGTACTCACCTACCTCAGAGAAAGCTTCTTCTTCTTCTTCTTCTGATGCACTTTGGCTCTCGGTTAAACAAGGCAGGCTATAGGTAGAGAGAAGCGTTCCCCCTGTAAATGTTATGTGTAGACGATAGTCTAAAGATGAGTGAAGCCTTTTGTTGTTTTGTTTTCCCTGTTTGGCCACGGCCTTCATGTCAACGGCTTAGTTTATTTTTATTCCTTTTTTCCCCCTGTTATTTCAGCGGTGGACGCTACCCTGTACTGGAATCATTTTGTTGGGTGAAAGTAAACCCGTTTATTGACAATACAAAAGCAAAGGAACCACAAACACTGCCCAGGTCTGTTAATTTCATGCCTCCCGCCTGTGTTAGGGTGTTTCGGACAAGCTGATCCGTCACAATAGATAATAAACAGCGAGTAGCAGCAGTGTAAAAACAAGGGGTGGGGTCAATGTAAATAGTCCGGGTGGCCATTTGATTAATTGTTCTGCGGTCTTATGGGGGTAGAAGCTGTTAAGGAGCCTTTTGGTCTTAGTCTTGGCTCTCCGGTACCGCTTGCCGTGTGGTAGCAGAGAGAACAGTCTATGACTTGGGTGACTGGAGTACTTGACCATTTTTTGGGCCTTCCTCTGACACCGCCTAGTACATGCAGTTGAAGTCGGGAGTTTACATACACCTTAGCCAAATACATTTAAATTCAGTTTTTCACAATTCCTGACATTTAATCCTAGTAAAAAATTCCCTGTTTTAGGTCAGTTAGGATCACCACTTTATTTTAAGAATGTTGAAATGTCAGAATAATAGTAGAGAGAATAATTTTTTTCAGCTTTTATTTCTTTCATCACATTCCCAGTGGGTCAGAGGTTTACAAACACTCAATTAGTATTTGGTAGCATTGCTATTAAATTGCTTAACTTGGGTCAAACGTTTCGGGTAGCCTTCCACAAGCTTCCCACAATAAGTTGGGTGAAATTTGGCCCATTCCTCCTGACAGAGCTGGTGTAACTGAGTCAGGTTTGTAGACCTCCTAGCTCGCACATGCTTTTTCAGTTCTGCCCACACATTTTCTATAGGATTGAGGTCAGGGCTTTGTGATGGCTATTCCAATACCTTGACTTTGTTGTCCTTAAGCCATTTTGCCACAACTTTAACTTCCTGACTGATGTCTTGAGATGTTGCTTCAATATATCCACATAATTTTCCTTCCTCATGATGCCATCTATTTTGTGAAGTGCACCAGTCCCTCCTGCAGCAAAGCACCCCACAGCATGCTGCTGCTACCCCCGTGCTTCACGGTTGGGATGGTGTTCTTCGGCTTGCAAGCAGCCCCCTTTTTCCTCCAAACATAACGATGGTCATTATGGCCAAACAGTTCAATTTTTGTTTCATCAGACCAGAGGACATTGCTCCAAAAAGTACGATCTTTGTCCCCATGTGCAGTTGCAATCCGTAGTCTGGCTTTTTTATGGAGGTTTTGGAGCAGTGGCTTCTTCCTTGCTGAGCGGACTTTCAGGTTATGTCGATATAGGACACGTTTTACTGTGGATATAGATACTTTTGTACCTTTTTCCCCCAGCATCTTCACAAGGTCCTTTGCTGTTGTTCTGGGATTGATTTGCACTTTTCGCACCAAAGTACGTTAATCTCTAGGAGACAGAACGCGTCTCCTTCCTGAGTGGTATGGCAGCTGCTTGGTCCCATGGTGTTTACACTTGCGTACTATTGTTTGTACAGATGAACATGGTAACTTCAGGCGTTTGGAAATTGCTCCCAAGGATGAACCAGACTTGTGGAGGTCTACAATTATTTTTCTGAGGTCTTGGCTGATTTCTTTTGAATTTCACATGATGTCAAGCAAAGAGGTAGGCCTTGAAATACATCCACAGGTACACCTCCAATTGACTCAAATGATGTCAATTAGCCTATCAGAAGCTTCTAAAGCCATGACATAATTTTCTGGAATTTTCCAAGCTTTTTAAAAGCACAGTCAACTTAGTGTATGTAAACTTCTGACCCACTGGAATTGTG